TCGGTAGTCGAAGGTTCGAATCGGGTCATGTCGGGTCCGATGAGTTGGTGGTTCCTCCTTGCACAGAGAGAAGTAGTTCTTTAGAGGATCTAAGCGATAGAGTACATGGTACGCTATCACGCATTATATACGTGGGCCCGCAAAGGGGTGATCGGACACCCTGGCCTCTCCTGCTCCTTCTTGCCCCCGTTCCTGGCCGCAGAGGGGATGATTGTACATCCCTTGCAGGCCAGGCGCTACTCCTAACCTCCTAGTACTCCTCCCCAGTCCCCTGGTGTCGAGTTGGGCTCGGCAACAGCTTGAGGCATCATTCTCGGTCACATGCTTCCCAGGTGTGCGTTCCTCCTACTTGTAAGGGCCGGAGTCGGAACCAGAATCGGACACATCTCCGAGGGGCCGAAAGGGGGGTTCCCCTGACATCACCCCCCCTTTGAATGCGGCATCCCAATGCATAGACCGGAACAGAATTGTGTCGAAGGTTGCAGAGGCAACGTGCTGTGGTTTGCCAGGGTACTTACGATAGAACTCTGCGATCTTCTCCGGGGCGAAGACACGGTCAAAGCAGACCCACTGGTTGTGTGACGCGTTGTAGCCTTTCCATCTGACAAAGTAACTCAGCTGTTTATACCTCACCTATGCATCCAAAATTTTCTCCACTTCCCACTCCGGGACTCCATCCTCAAGGTCCGGAGGCGGCTGGTCATAGCCGGGGCATCCATCGAAGGGGTCGTCCTGGGCGAGCTCGACCTTGACGACGGGGGAAGACTGGGTGGAGCTTCGAGAGTAGCGCGGAGGGAGGTCGAGCTTGTAGGCACCTTTGCTGATCTCCGCAACTATCTTGAACGGTCTGAGGCGGCGGTGGGAGAACTTTTCCGAGGGGCAGGTCGTCCTGATGTCAGAGGCATCCAGCTAAAGACAGTCGCCAACCTCAAACTCCGGAGACAGAGTGCGTTTCCGGTCGTAGTAGCGTTTGTACTCCTCTTTGGCCTTTGTGAGCGCAGCCTTGGCTTCAGCAACACCAGTGGCGATCCGCTCGCAGAACTCATTCACTGACTCCATGGCGGAGCGGACTCCGGGTTGAAAGCCCATGCGCGGGAGCCGGCCCGAGTCCATCATGAACGGGACTTGTTGCATAGAGGAGTGAACATGGTTGTTATAGGCGAACTCTGTGGCCAGAATCAGCTCGTCCCAGTCGTCCTGCTGATAGTTGGTGAAGATCCGCAGGTATTGCTCTAACTCCTGGTTGACGTGCTCTGTCTGCCTGTCCATCTGCGGGTGATACGCGGTGGACGTGGCGGGCTTGATGCTGATTAGACGCCAAAGTTTTCAGGTGAAGTCTGCAATGAACTGTGAGCCGCGGTCGGAGATGTACTTCTCCAGAGTCCCATAGTGTTGCCAGACATTTCATTTTACTCTTACTAATGCTTTCACAGGCACATGGACATAGACCCGGATGCGTTACCAACGCGTCAGAAGCTCATGGTGGACCCGAGGCCTGCCCAGATCACCAACTCTGTCACCGCCCGTGATGATCCGAATATCTCCTGACTTCTAACCATCATCCGGGTGACACACTTGGTCTCCTCCGCCCAATTTTCCTCTCTCCGACTTGTGGCTGGCTGGCCGCATTCATCGTGATCCATCTCCCACGGTCCTCAAGATTCTTGATGTTCCAACAGCTGCACTGCTGAGCGCGTGATGTGCTTGCGGTCAAGCCCATTCTGCCGTGCAATGGGCCTGGGCGCAAAAATGCCAGTGCGCCTGCCGCCAACAGCACTTTTTACGTGTGATCTATGGCTGCTGGAGCCTTCCCACCGGTCCAATTGCCAAATCCCACCCAGCGCGCGGAACACTGAGTAACAGTCAACTGAGCCCACAACTCCGTTGCGGCAGGCTCGGTCCTCACAGTGGCCGCCCCAGCACGTGAAGCATGTGGGCTGACAACTGGGCAAAACACTGTCCTGCCCCGGGTAAGTCAATCTCCAGCGCTAGTTGAATATACACTGACTGCTTAGTTGCAGTCAACCGCGCGCGCTGACGCCCGGGGAGGCGCCGTGGCGGCAGTGGCATCGAAGATGCAGGGCTGGCAGTGCTAGCCTTGGTCTGCGTGCCGGAGGCTCTGCGCGTCGTAGGCGAAACCCAATTTTAGCTGGAGAAGCAGGCGCGTGCTCTGCCTTAGCAATAAGCTGAATATAATTCTTGCTGAAATTCATACCACACACTGTGCCGGTGCTGGCACTGGCCTGAGTCTCCAATGTATGCGACTTGCGAGGGGAGCGGCCAAGCAGTTGGGTCTGCGCGCACCGGGCTGACAGACGGTGCAAGTGCAACCGAGACAGGTTCCTTGTCTCCCTCCAGCCGCGCGTTGCGGTACGCTCACACGTCGGGGCCGAGACTGGCGTCACTGATCCTTCCCGCACCACAACCCCGCCGGCCCTCAGGCCCTGTTTTTGTTTGTTCTGCCTGATAGTCACAGAGCACAGAGAACCAAATAGAAATAGAGGACCAATACATCCCTCGGCCTTGTGAGAATGCGAGGCAGAACGGGCCAACATCTAGCATTTTATAAAGGCAGCGGCGACCCCGGGCCGGCCGGTCTCCCGCGCGCTTTGCCAGGCAAAGCCGCGGGTAGCGACACCCTGTCTGCCGATTTTCAGTTTAACTGAACAGTGAACCCGCGCTCGAGTCCCGTGCAGAACTAGCTGCATCTCCGGTCCATTTGGGAACTTGAGCAGCTGAAGGACTATGATGGGCCATTTCAGGTTTAAGCCGGAGCACATCGGCCCTGTGTGGGATCCGGGAGGACACGGGGACATCTCCCAACTGGCTACCCTGCGCGCTCCCAGTAGGATGCTCTTGTACTGGGTGCAGACAGCTTGACTGCCTTACTGCCCTCTCAGTGTCCTACGGCCCTCTGTAGTTGTCTTCATTTGATAGTGGTGGTTAGAAAGCAAGAGCGGTAGCGTGGGAGCCTGACTCGGATGGCCAAGCCCGATCGCCGGGCTTGCATAAGTTGTCTATAGCATAGCTGGCTGGAAAGGCTTCCTGTGGGTCCTTGGACCAACTGGTAGGGTCGGGAAGTACCATATAATGCCAATAATAATTGGCCGCGGACTGTACTCAGTTGTAAATCAAAATTATCAAATGGCATTCTTTGAAGTAATTTAAGACAAAGAATTCAGACAAAGAAGCTCTGGCTGCCGTTGAAACTGCTGTTGGGTCTGCTACATGGGCTGCCAATCAAACTCCCATTTTGCGGCTGCCATTGCCATTGTGCCCGGTGTAATTGTATAGGTATCATTTCGCCATACGGCCCAGAGTCGAAAATCCAGGTCCAGATGACTGGTATCGCGTGTATTGGTGTCAATGACCTGTGTAAATCTTCCATATTCGCGACCATCTAGTTTTGCTTGTGAAGAATCCCTCGATCTTGAGTAGGATAAGTTGATAGCTCGGCTTTCCAGCTTTCAATTGACACCCATAACTCGTATCTCGTGCGTATGGCCTCAGCGGTGGTTGTCCCAACTCTCCTGGCGCATTTCCAATGTTCAGATGACCAGTTCCTCGACAGTGTTTTAGAGTCGCCGTTGATCGCAGGTCCAGGCCCCAATCTATTGAGTTGGTTTCTCCCGTTTAACCGTCCCTTGGCACTCTCGATCCTCCAGCAAGATCCGAAACCACGTTCCAATGATGTCAATCGTCGATACCAACAGAGATAGGGGTGTCCCTTATCTAGGAGAAGTTGATCTCGAGTCTCCAGTGCGCGCCAAACCAAATATGCCTTTTAGTTTACATTCCCTTTGGGTATTTTGCATAGGATTGGATAGATCCTAGCGAGAAACGGGCTCTGCGAACTTTTCCTAGTCAAGATTTTGGAATCACTGAGTGCGATTTGATAGATTTTGACTGGTTCTTTGACAGATATCTCCCTAGTTGACCATTCGGGACTCATGTCAACTCTAAGACATGCGCTGAGCAACGAAATCGACGAAAATAGTTGTTTCCTGGTCTGTCCCAGACTGCGGCTTATCACCGCTTCGACTGTGTCTTCGCCCCAGAGAAAATCGTGGAGTTCTATCGTAAGTACCCTGGCAAACCACGGCACATCGCCTCCACGACCTTCGACACGATACCCTTCCGGTCTATGCGTGGGACGCCGCATTTAAAGGGGGGGGCGGTGATGTCAGGGGAAGCTCCCTTTCGGCCCCTCGGAGACGCGCGTCCGGTTCCGGTCTGACTCTGGTTCCGACTCTGGTCCGGCCCTCCATCTCGCCCGCACAATCACCGATCCGTCAACACCCTCCCGGCAGCTGCCCTGGGACCTTGCCTGCGACGCCACCCAGGCCTTCTGTGCCCGACAGCGGCAGCTACGGACAAGCAGTATATAGTCAGCTACCTAGCGGGTGGACCCTTAGAGTTCATTCTCTTTGGATCCTCCCCTGCTAGCTAGGACCTTGATCTCGGGCCTCCGGGCGTTGCCCTTACAGTCATGCGCGGATAAACTTGATTCTCGCTCTCATCTATCTCTGCGACGTCTCGCTCTCATCTATTTCGTCAACGTCTTCAGTCTGGACCATCAACAACCTCAAGACGGGTCCTCTATAAGCGAGCCCGTCCTGCCGTACGTATACGGCTAAGCCAGCGACTCCGAGCCACCTTATGGGTACCACATTCCCGCAACCCCGGAGAACGGGTCGCATCACAGGAGGCATCGCCAACCCATCAGGCCCTGGCGATCTACGGAAGTGGGTAGACAATATGTGCATATGGGTAGGTATATATTACCATACAGTGGTCATCATAGCCTTTTGTATAACACTATTTTCATCAAACCATTCGATAAGCCCCAAAACGAAACCCTAGCACGGCGCTCATCGCTCCGCAACACCGCCAGCAGCAAACTGCCCATTACCAAGGACGGTTTCAGGCCATACATCGCACAATGCAAACCACTATTACCACTCTCTCTCTATTATATATACCACGAAAACTTTTCCCCCCTAGCGCCCCCACGCACTCGTGCCCAGCGTGCCCACCAGCCCCCTCACAAAGCCCCTTGCGTTCCCGGAACTTTCGGCGTACTTCGCCAGGAACAAACTGTCCGCGCCCGCCTCGGGCTCGACGCGCACCGCGTTCGACGCGGGCGCGCGGAGGAGCCCCCCGACGGCGGCGGGGTCCGCGAAGGCGCCGCGCAGGCCGGTGGAGACGATGTTGGCGAGCTGCGGGTCGCCGAGGTCGAGGGAGGGGTCGGAGGAGGAGGAGGGGTCGGCGTCGGCGTCGGCCGGGTCGGAGAGGCCGGCGACCTCGGCGACGAACTCGGCGGCGAAGGCGTCGAGCGCGGGGTCCGCCGGGGCCGGGGCCGCCATGCTTTCTTCTTCTTCTCCCTCCTCGTCCTCGCTGACCTCCTCATCACTCCCCTCCTCCTCCTCATCCACGAGCCCCATCTCCACCGCCACCTGCCCCCGCCGCTCCTCGTCCAGCGACCGCACGCCCGCCTCCCAGCCCGCCGCCTCGCGCGCCCGCGCCTGCACCTCCACTACCCCCTCCAGGGTGCGCACGCCCTTCATCGCCGCGCCCGCGAGCGCCGCCTGCCCCTCGCGGATGCGCGCGACGAGCGTCGCCGCCTCCGCGCGCGCGAGCTGCGCCGCCGGCCCGGCCCCTTCGCCGCCCGCCGCAGCAGCCTCCGCCGCGGCGAGGTGGTACCCCTCCACCGCGTCCGCGACGTCCCCCGCCTCGCCCGCCGCGACCGGATCGTACTCCTCCGCATCCAGCTCCCCGTCCTCTCCCTCCATCCCCGGAGCCTCGGCGGCGTCGGCGTCGGCCCCGGCCCGGTACCCCGCCAGCGCGACCAAGTCCGTCCGGCGCGTCGCGCGGCGCTGCCCGCCCGTGCGCAGCACGCCCGCGTCGAGCCAGAGCTCGAAGAGCCCCGCGGCCTCGCGCGGGGAGAGCGCGTCGGGCACGCGCACGGCGCGGAGCGCGGGGACGAGCGGGGCGCGGGGCTTCCCGCGGGTTGGCGTGGGCGTGGGAGCCGGGCCGGATTCCGGTTCGGCCTCGGCCTCCGCGTCGGCGTCCGGAGCAGTGGCGGGGACAGAGGCGCCGTCCTTGGGCACGACGAGCGCGCGCCAGAGCTCGGCGGGGCGCGGCGCGGGCGCGGGGTCGTGGTGCGTCGGGACGAGCGTGTCCTCGTACACCGGCGGGTCGTACACGTTCCACCCCGTCCAGGGGAGCTCCGCGGCGTCCTCGGGTTCGGCGGCGTCCAGCAGGTTTTGCAGGGGGATGCCGTCTTCTTCTTCGTGGTCGAGGGCGTCTTCTTCGGGGATGTATGCCTCTAAATGTCTTATTAGTATGACGTAATCGAGCGAGGAATGATGTACCCAGCGGGACCTGGTGCTCGAGATACCCCGCGAGCTGCCGGCTCTTCCTAATCCGCGCCGCGCGCGGGGACGGCGCGTAGTGGGCCGGCAATCTCAACGCGTCCGCGAGCTGGTCCGACACGGGGAAATTGTTGTCCGACCTTGACAGCGCGCCGAGCACCATGCCGCGTGCCAACTTCCTCTTCCCGCTCGCGTACTCGAGCAGGAGGCGCGGGAGCCCGAGGTGGTGCGGGCGGATCATCCTGAATTGGGGGTCGCGGTAGGCCGAGCCGCCCGCGAGCGTCTGGAAGTCGTCGATCGCGAGGAGCACGGGGAAGAGCGTCTGGCCCCCCAGCGCGGCCATGACGGCGTCGAGCGCGGCGGGGGCGAGGGCCTCGTCCGCGGCCGCCGCGTCGATGAGCGTCTGCAGGGGCGTCCCGATGGGGAAGGCCGCGCCGCCGTCGACGAGCGTGACCTCCTGCGTGGTGGACAGGTGCTCGAGGTGGTGCGCGTTCGCGCGGCCGATGCGGGACAGCGTCGCACGTGCGGCGCGCGGCTGGAGGTAGGTTCTGGTGGCGAGGGAATACGAATACGGCGTGGACGAGTCGACGAACGTGCGCGTTCTGGGGATGTAGATGACGACCCAGTCGCCCGCGGCGTGCGCGTACTGCACCGCCTGCAGCAGCAGGAACGACTTGCCGCACCCGGGGCGCCCGTTCAGCACCAGTCTTGCCGGGTACGCCTTCGCCTCCTCCAGCGCCCTGACTATGGAAAGCGTCGCGCCCGTCGTGACCGCCACCGGCGCGCCCAGAATCCGGAACTATTCCCGTCAGGGAAGAAAAAAAAATAGGGCGGGGGACGCACCTCCAGCAGCATATGCTTCGGCAGCCCATACACCCTTAGCGGCGCCGTCGGCCCGTCATGGAAGCGCGTCGCGACGCCGGGCGCGAGCATCCGCGGGTGCAGCGGCGGCACGTCCAGCTCGACCCTGCCTGGCTCCTCCGTGGTCTCGAACAGCGGGTGCTTCAGCGCGCCCGCGCCCATCGCCTTGTACATCTGCCCCCATCAGCCCCCACTGGTAAGAGAAGAAAAGGCCACGCACCCCCAGACTCCGCTCGCGCGGCGCGACGATCGGGCGCCCGCTCGCGTCCCTTTCCACCGCCGCCTTCTTCTCCTTCGGCGCTATCCGCTGCTTGTTGCTCCGGTGCCGCACCCCCAGCCCCGGCACCGCGCGCCCCACCGCCCCCAGTCGTCCGCCGCCGCGTCCCAGCAAGAACATCGCTGTGAATGAAAATTTTCGGTGGGAAGAGGTGTGACCGTAACGTTGATCGTCACATTGTCACTCGGTGCTGATCGGGATTCCCACCGGAGTTTCAGCCAAAAAATGGTCCCCTAAGCAGGATTTATATATAAGAACTAATGGTCCAAAACAATGGCTTTGTTTGCTGATTTGATGGATGCACAATAAAAGTTACAAAAAATCAAGTTCTATATCATGATATCAAATATTGCATGCATTGTGACTACCCCATTCTTGACCATGTTTTGTAAACAATAAGTACACATTATTTAAGCCCAGATATTTGTCAAAAAAATGGTGTCACATTATTATTATTACCCCAATTTGTCATATATAAGGGTGATTTGTCATATATAATGGCGATTTGTCACTCATTTCTGATATATTAGGTACACTTCGGTGCTGGCCCAGATTTTTGATAGATATAGTCTCATACCTTGTGACATATTTGGTGCATTTAAGTCTACTTTTCTGGAGTTTTATTTGTTATTGTTCCAAGTTGCAAAAATTTACATTTTTTTTGTCCACTATTTATCATAAATAAATCCTACTTCCGGGCCTACTTTTTGGCAGAAACCCTGGTGTGCCTGTAGTTCCCACATATCCTCGCTAATATGAAGTGACGGTATACCTGACCATTAATTCATATTAGAAGGATCAGGTATACTGTCACTTCATGTTAGAAGGAAAGTATCAAAAATCTCTCTGCTGCAATAAATGCTGCAAGAAAACTGCAATAATTCTTAGACATATGACAGAGTAACTTTGAAGTCAGCAGCTGCTATATAAGTTCCAGTAAATCCTAGGCATTTACCCAAGGATGTAAGTCCAGTTGGAAATTTATACAAAGTCCTAATTGTCAGTAAAAATTTTGGCACCTGTGTAGCCCAATACCGACCAGTTCTGTACACTCTGTTACAGGGTGTGACACAAGGTCACAAGTGTGACATAGTTCCCAAAAAAGGAAAATTTCGCAGTTCAACAGCAGGATGACCAGAGAATTGAGAATGTCACAGATCATCACAACATCAAAGTTGTGTATTTTAACTATACAAGCAACTTTCATTAAGTGACTATAGTCGCAGCTCAATAGCTATGTATGGTCCATATCTGCAAGCATATAATGTCAGAATTACAAAATAAGGTAATTTTGACATCCCATGCTATGTGTGATCAGGGCCTTTGATTTATCAAAAATCTAGGCCAGTGATTTGGGCCCCAATCTCTGCTATAAAAGTCCAGCTTCAAGTGGCCATCAGCCGCCAGTTTTAGGGTGAAACCCAAATATAAATTTTCATTCACCTTTGTGTTGGAAGGGAAAGTTTTGTATTCGTAGTGTGTCCAGGTCAACCCCTGGATATATGCTGAGGAACAAAGTCAACAAAAAGAGTCATTTTCTAGTCTGTGCAAGACTGTGACTTATAAAGAGCTTCAATTCTGAGAGGAAAAAGTCAGATTTTATATGACAATGGATAGAAAGTGAATAATATATATACAATTACACAAGAAATTCTAGGCATAAGGCAAACAAGAGGTATGGAAACTTGACAGAAGGATGACAAGACTATGTACTATCAGACATTGTTTAGTAAAACTCATTAATAATAGTAAGAAGCAGTATAAGAACAAGAGCAGCAATATACTTTGATATAGAGGGGATGGGTGGGGAGTAACACTTAGCCCAGTTAGAACCAAGGAAGTTGAAATCAACATCAATATTTGCTTGGCCTTTACGGCAGATGACCACAGTACAAGGGTGAAACTGCAGAGTTTGGTGCATAGTAGGAGAGCACCAGATGATATGGAAAGTAGCAGGGAAGGGGCCAATAAGCCAACCATCTTTGTCAATAGAATACTTGTGCATGTTTGAAATTGTATTCCAGAACCTGATAGTTGTATTATCAGAGCCAGAAACCACCTTTTCATTATCTGGAGAGAATGCTACAGAGTTTACCCCATCAGAGTGACTCTCAAAGCTCTGCTCTTCTGCTCCTGTTGCTACATTCCAGATCTTGACAGTTGTGTCATAAGAGCCAGAAACCAGTTTTGTGCCATCTGGAGAGAATGCTACAGATAGCACACTGTCAGAGTGACCCTTAAAGCTCTGCTCTTCTGCTCCTGTTGCTATATTCCAAATCTTCACAGTTTTGTCATAAGAGCTTGAAACCACTTTTGTGCCATCTGGGGAGAATGCTACGGAGAATACACGATTAGAGTGACCCTTAAAGCTCTGCTCTTCTGCTCCTGTTACTGTATTCCAGATCTTGACAGTTCCATCATCAGAGCCTGAAACCACCTTTTTATCATCTGGAGAGAATGCTACAGAGTTTACATAATCAGAGTGACCCTTAAAGCTCTGCTCTTCTGCTCCTGTTACTCCATTCCAGATCTTGACAGTTCCGTCATCAGAGCCTGAAACCACCTTTTTATCATCTGGAGAGAATGCTACAGAGTTTACACAATCAGAGTGACCCATAAGGCTCTGCTCTTCTGCTCCTGTTACTGCATTCCAGATCTTGACAGCTCTGTCAGCAGAGCCAGAAACCACTTTTGTGCCATCTGGAGAGAATGCTACAGAGTTTACCCAATCAGAGTGACCCTCAAAGCTTTGCTCTTCTGCTCCTGTTGCTGCATTCCAGATCTTGACAGTTCTATCACGAGAGCCAGAAACCACTTTTGTGCCATCTGGAGAGAATGCTACAGAGTTTACATCATCAGAGTGGCCCTCAAAGCTTTGCTCTTCCGCTCCTGTTACAGCATTCCAGATCTTGACAGTTGTGTCACCAGAGCCAGAAACCACTTTTGTGCCGTCTGGAGAGAATGCTACAGAGTTTACCCCATCAGAGTGACCCTCAAAGCTCTGCTCTTCTGCTCCTGTTACTGCATTCCAGATCTTGACTGTATAGTCACTAGAGCCAGAAACCACCTTGCTGCCATCTGGAGAGAATGCCACTGTCCAAACTATACTATCATGTCCTTGAATATTTACTAGAACTCTATCCTTTAGAACCCCCTTACAGTCTACTCTAATTAGATGGGAGAAACACTTTCTCCAGCCATCTTGTCCTTTCCCACTTCCAAGTATCATTGCGAGTCCAGTGATATATAAGTGTGGTGTTGAGAACTTTCCTGGTCCACTAATATAGTAGGTCCACAGAGATTGGGCACTATACAGATCATCCTTGAGCATTTTGTGTTCTTGAAACTAAAGCTTTTCTCAGTATCCCTCTTTTCTTCTTCTTTTGATTTACCTTGTGAACCCAACTCAGTGCCTGGTCCAATGCTATACGACAGTCTTCTTTTAGCAAGTTCATGGTCTCCATCCAAAATAAAACTTTAACTTCTATAAACCTCTGCAAACACTTAATAACTTCCTGAACTTGTGGATTATCATGTCTGATCGAGTTCAAATGTGCTCCCCAGTGCTTGCAGGAATATCTAAGTTGTACTCCAATTTGTTCCTTGATTTTTGACTGTAAGTTGACATCCTCGTCATCAGTTTGGTAGGATGATGATAAGTCACAGATATTGAACTTCAGCTCTTCATCCAAAACCTTCAATGCTGTATATGTGCAGTCAAGGAAATAGTCATTGGCTTCCTCTCTGTATTGTGATCTTGCCCAATCCACAACAAAATCATCAAATGACTTGTGATATGAATAGATGCACTGATCAGCTGCTGAGATATATAATACTGCATGAAAAGCCATCACACTGTTCTCTATAGCTTTTATGTCTGGCTCATCTGAAGTACTCTCCATTATAAGTGGAGCAAGAGTTTTGATAGTATGGGGTTGACGGGCTGACACAACAGCATACAGTACATGCCGTCGAGGAACAAGTTCTGGTGTGTCTGTTGGCAGTCCTTCTAGAAGGATGTATTTGTATAGGGTGGCAGTTTGAAGCCCATCTCCCTTATCTGGATTAGCTCGTCTTCCTTGATTGCGTAATCTTGTTACTCTGTTATGCTGTTCTTGCCATGTTAGAGCATATTGCAAAGGCTTTAGGTATCTGACAATTGTGGCTGCATAGATGAAAAGTCCTTGAGCCTGCTGGACAACATAGTTCCTATCCTCCTTAGGTAATTCAGGTAATTCTATATCAATATACTTCTGGATGTCCTTTGCTGCTTGCTCCTTGGGAATCCACTCAAGATGGTAAACATTTTCCCTGAGTTTCTTTGCAAGACTAGCAATTCCAGGATGAGGGCGGCTGGTAAGCAATAACTTCAAACCCTTAAAGTTATAATTGATTTGTTCCATCAATTTCTCAAGAATCTGGTGTCCCTGGCCCCCTTCAATTTCATCCAAAGCATCAATCACAATGAGATGTGGTATAGAGTGATATTGCATGGATTTTCTCCAGGGCTCAACTAGTAACTCCCTGACATGTGTACTTGAAGATGGAACTATGGTATCCAGACTGATATCTGACAGACTTTGAGCATAGGGTCCATACTCTTGGAGAAGCTGTCGAGCAATCGTAGGCACAATATTTGCTAATGTTCTTGACATAGCCTCAGTTCTAGAGCAGAAGAATGATGCAGCTAGTCGCCTCTGTTCTTTCATTTCTTTGCAAATTGTAGTGGCAACAGTTGACTTTCCAGAACCTGCCATACCACTAAGCCAGAAGATTTGAGAGCCATTTGGGTCCTCAATCCAGGTTTCAAGTATTGTCAGTAGGTCTTGGCGAGTTCCTGTAGTACATGAATTTCGTGAACCACTCAATCCCTGATCTGCATTGAATAGTGCTTTTGATGCAAAAGGAAGTTTTTCAGCCTAATATGTGGTATTATAAAATATGACATATTGTGATGAATTGTTCATACCATTGCAAATTTCATTGTCTTTGTCACATCTTTAGCAATGGATTGAGTGATTATATCCTGTCACATAATATATCAGTAAAACTATATCAAACTCAACAATATCCTATAGCACCCTATGGTCATCCAGTCCAATAGTCAGCTGATCCATACAAGCTTGAATGCCCTTGGAAAAATCATTAGGTTGTATGAAGTTCTGGATTCTGGACTGTTTCAGTTTCTGCAACTTCAAAGCTTCCTGGTTAAGTAACCTAGATCATTATGAGATTTCAACAAATAGTGGCTTGACTGCATACTGTGCTAAGCTCTGGCTGCTCTTGATCACAGTTGGGTTATATTTGTCCCCATCAGAGATTTGTTCATTGATTTTCTCTAGCTGGTGTGTGAGCCTTGTGATCAATGCCTTCAAATCCTCCTCATTGTCATGATATTCCTATGAAAATGTTAGATCCATAATAAGGTGTAATATCAACATATACAATAATCAAACCAAACAGAGTATTCAAAAGCTGTAGAGGAGCATTGAATGGAGGAGGGACCATTGGATCCATGACTTTGATGACTGCTAATAGTCCCTTCAAAGAACCTTGGACCTTTCTATAAATAGCCTTCTTCCAGGAGGGTTGTGTCTGTAATTCTTGCATTTAGAATAACAACCATGGATAAAAATACCAATGCTACCTGGAATTCCTCCTGATTATCCAGTTGCTGTTCTGTGAGAGATACATGGAAGCTTTCATCTGCTTGATTCAAGACTTTCAATGCAAGAACTAATATGATAGATGATTATTTGCTTGCTACCAACCTAAAGAATACTTACAATCTCCTGTAGCACTCTTGTCTAGCAGTTCCTGGACTGTATAAACATGCTGGACCAGCAAATCATCCTTGCTCCATTTGTGTGACTGGAAAATTGCCACATTAAGTTTCACATCAAGTGATTCAATGACACTTGTCCAGTTCCTAAGGTAACTTATAATTATTGGTATTTTAACACTCACATTTCTTCTCTGACACTCCACTCAGCAGTCTGGATGCTTTTGCTCTTCTTTGTTTCAATGAGGACTTCCCCAGTTGGGCTTCCCAGGCAGACGACAGCATAGAGCTTCATAGTCTTCCCTGGTTTTGCCGGTGCATTCAAGGTATTGGAGCCTTGTGCTGAATTAACTTCACAAAGGTCAGTACTGCTGAGGGTTCATGGACAGAGGCTCACTCCGGAGGGTGTACGTCTGGGCCATGGTGGCGGTCGAGTGCAAGCAAGCAGCGATGCTCCCATGAGGCATCCGCGTTGCTGTGCTGTCCTTGACACGAGAAATGTCACAAAAAGAAACATCGAGCCAGCCACATGTATGATCGCACACACGCAAGGTGTATTTTTGTTACAGTAGCTCCTTCATTCAAATAAAGGTGCCTAAATAGCACGGTATAATGCAAGTTAACTATCGCGATAGACCCGCCCACTATGCCCACCCGACATTGCACTACGATAACCAACCTCTTTTTTTTGCCCCCAGTGCCTCCCCGCCCCATCCCCTCCGAGTCCTCACAACTCGTGCTTCTTCTCATCCGCTAATCACCGCCCAAACCACACCCCGCATCTTCTCCGCCTCGCACTCACGCCTCACGGAACGCCGGGTTGGTTAGCACCGCCCACGCGATGTGCGCAGGCCTCTGACCCGCTCATGCTTTGCGGGTGGCGTGACCTCGAAGTCGGGCTCGCGCGCGTGGGCGACGGTCGCAGCGTGTATGAGGGTTCGCGCTAGAGAAAAGAAAACCCTCATCAGCGTAATAGCGATATGGGAAAGGCAACGCACGCAGTGAGCCCAAACACGGGCTTCATCCCGCCCGCCTCTCTCCCCGTGATGAAGCGATGGACCCGCCCAACGTGCTGCGCCCCGTTCGGGTTGGCGTAGGTCCACTCGTGAGAGGAGTGGTAGGGCACCTCAAGCGTCTCGGGCTCGGCGGGGAGCGGCGGGTTGGAGGACAGGAACGCAGACAGTGGGTGAGAGAAGAGCGCGGCGACCTCGGCAGTGTTGAGGATCGGGCGGAGCGTGTTGTCGAGAATCACAACGCTGTTGACGGTGAGGAGAAAAGAAGGGGAGAGAACACGCACGGTGGGACGACAAGGTTGTTTGACGCGAGGAAGATTCGAGGATACACAGCAGCGGGACCTTCATCCGATCTCCTCAAACGCCTCCCGCCGCTGTCCACCACATCCATCAGCACCCACCGCCACAAAAAAGAAAAAAAAGCACCGCACTGGCTCAAATTTCAATCCTGTTTCTTCCCGCCAGGCAAACTCGTGTCCCCCGCATACGACTGCAGCGTCGCCGACCGCCTTCCCCCAGTCAGCCCTCCCCCTTTTCCCATAAAGCCACGCACCGGTTGAGGAGGACATACAAGTCCCCCCTTCCTTCCCACAAACAGCGCGACGAGCACGGCTGCACAGCGTGCGCGGGGGGAGCGCAAACGGCAGCGGCGGCACAGCAGGGTGGACAGCCAGGTTCTTCAAGCACTTGCGCAAACACCAAATGTGAGCGGATGCACCGGGTATCGGGTATGGAGACATACCGGCGCGACTCTGCGGTCAGCGGCGGGATCCGCGCCGCGCTCAGCTTCAGCCGCTTCGGGCGGTGGTACTCCAGCAGGTTCAGCGGCCTTGGCGCCTTGTCCGACGACGGCAGGAGGAAAGGAGGGAGTTGGTATGTGACCGTGTAGACACCGTCGTCACTACAGCTCCGGAGACCGAGCCCGACGCCGAGCCGAATCCGAGCCCTAATCCGGCCCCGGCTCCCACGCCCTTAAGAAGTCGCGCGCCACTCGTCCTGGCGCTCCCGTGAGGCCGCGGGGGCTGTTCGAGCTGTGGCTTGACGCCGGCGGGCAGCCCCCCTCGTCACGCTCGCGGGGCACCAGGTCGTCGCGAGCTCACGCGGCGGAGGCGGAGGCGGACGGTGGGGAGACGGGCGGGGGTATGATGCGGCGGCGGCGGGCGAGGTGGTCGCGGTCGCGGTCGCGGTCGCGGACATGCGGTGGCGGTGTAAGTACCACCTCGTTGCGGAGGCGGACGACGGCCCGGCGGGCGCTACTAGCGCGCACGGAGGCGGTGATCACGCATCCTGGAGGGCGAGGCGGTGCTGGCGCCGCGGATGAAGGGTGTGATCGGGATGGGAGGTGGGGGGTGCACTCGTTGAATGAGGAGCGGCGGGTGGCGATGGCGGTGGAGATGGGGCTCAGAGGTCCGGGAAATGAGCAGTCGGACGAGGAGGAAAGGCATCGCTTCTCCGGAAGTAGGACTCGAATCATTTTGGGTCAAAATTATTTGTTAACAATAATAAATGTTTAAATGATCATTTTGTTTGGCTGACTGGCACACAATAAACAAATGAAAATGAACAAATCAAACATTGATTCTGTGAGATACTCACTTTGAGTCTTTGAGTGTCTTTGCTAGGGTTAGGGCTCTATAACAGTGTAAAACCCTGAGCCTCATACACACCGGGGTTTCCGCCAAAAAACAGGCCCCGAAGCAGGATTTATTTAGCGTAAATAGTGGTGCAAAAAAACCTGTTGTGAAGGTAATTAATCAGAAATAATGGCATCTAAAAGTGGACCTGATCTGTCAGAAATCGGGGGATGTTTCAGGTCCTCAGATCGGAACATTTTAGGACTATAATTTACAGGCAAACAATAGAGCTGATTCAGCCCAATGTTTGTGACAAATTATGGCCTCTGTTCATTGTCCTGATTTTCAGTCAATCAGGTACCACTTTAGTGGCCCCATTTTTGACAAAAATGGGGATTCCAATAATGGCCACCAAAATGCACCTGTTAATCCCAATTATCTCTTCTAATTAACAGGGCGGCTGTGTCGGAGTAGCGGGCGATCAACTCCGCTAACATCTCGTCTCCGAGTTGTTGGATCACCTCGTCGAGGATGTCCATTGAGCGGACGTCCGCAGGGAGGGGGCAATTCCGGGCAAGATGGTTTGGGTCGCCGCACCTGAAGCAGGCGTGACGAGGGCACCCTGAGCCCTAGTGCGATCCAACTCCATAGGAACGGGAGCTGGAGGGGCCGGAGCAGGGGCGCAGGCTGCGGGTGGCACAACGGGAGCCCACCGGGCGGAAAGGGGCCGGAGCCGGGACACGGTTGACTGGAAACGGAGTCCGAATCACACCGCCTGACGTCTTGGGGGCGGCTGACTTGATCAGCTTGGCCCGGACCAGGGCCTCATATTGACGGAAGGCCTGGGTGCGCCAGCTAAGGTAGTCCCGGAGGTCCGGGGGGTCGTTTGAAGACATGATTCCGTTGTTGATCAAGGGGTCAAGTCCGTGGCGGAACTTGGTCACCTTGACCAGCGCGTCTTCGAATCCGGCGAGGTCCATCAGGTCCTCGAAGTCGTCGGTGTACTGGTAGACATCCTTTGTACCCATGTGATAGGCGGAAGTCTCCAGTTTGGAGAGAGCGTGATCTTGGTTGTTCTCCTCAACGAACCGGAGTCAAAACTCGGAAACAAACGATGATAAGCCGCAGTCTGGGACAGACCAGGAAACGACTATTTTTGTCGATTTTGTTGCTCAGCGCACGTCTCAGAGTTGACATGAGTCCCGAATGGTCAACTAGGGAATAACCTGCACAAGAACCAGTCAAACTCCAGTCAAAATCTATCAAGTCGCTCTCAGTGATTCCAAAATCTTGACTAGGAAAAGTTCGCAGAGCCCGTTCTACGCTATAATCTATCCAATTCTATGCAAAATACCCAAAGGGAGTGTATTTAAAAAGGCATATTCGGTTTGGCGCTCAGTGGAGACTCGAAGTCGACTTCTCCTAGATAAGGGACATCCCTATCTCTGTTGGTATCGATGACTGACATCATTGGAACGTGGTTTCGGATCATGCTGGAGGATCGAGAGTGCCAAGGGACGGTTAAACGGCGAAAACCTACTCAATTGATTGGGGCCTGGACCTGCGATCAACGGCGACTCTAAAACACTGTCGAGGAACTGATCATCTGAACATTGGAAATGCGCCAGGAGAGTTGTGACAACTACCACTGAGGCCATACGCACAAGATACGAGTTATGGGTGTCAATCGAAAGCTGGGAAGCCAAGCTATCAACTTATCCTACTCAAGATCGAGGGATTCTTCACAAAGCAAACTAGATGGTCGCGAACACAGAAGATTTACACAGGTCATTGACTCCAATACACGCGATACCAGTCATCTGGACCTGGATTTTCGACTCTGGGCCGTATGGCGAAAACGATACCTATACAATTATGCACATGGACGACTTTTCTTACTCGAGATTTTCCCTGATTCTATCAATTTCGTTTTAGTATATCACTGTCTTGTATTTGGGGGATTCACGGATTGCCCCGCTCTACTAGGTGCATCTGGGGATCTAGCTTGTCAATCTATCTTGCTAGCTCTTTCGAAATAGTATTATTGCGTCAGAAGGATTATTGGTTGAGGGTTTCGGTTGCTGAATACAAGAGTTCCGGTTGCTGTTTATTGGGTTTCGGTTGCTGGTCGAGAGTTTAAGGCAGTTAGTTCCTGACTCGAGACAACTCAGACCTGATCCAACGAGTATAAACTCTCCGGGCATCGTATTGGCGCTTCTCTATTGCTGAGTTTCGTCGATAGTATGCTTTGGGGCACAACAAATCAACGTTTTTCGCGCCAAGGTTGATCGTTGCTCCGTGCAATAGGCCTGCGCCATGTCGCAGGCCAGGTCCCAGGGGGATTGCCAGGCGGGGGCAGTGATGCGCCTGATAGAGGCGGTGATGTGATCACCGGAGTCGAAACCAGAGTCGGGGCGAGTTCGACGGGCCGAAAGAGGGGTTCCCCTGACAGGAAGGGGTTAGAAGAATGGGGAGCTTTGAGGAGTATAGCGGCAACCTGGATTCAGCCGTGGGAGTTGTCGTAGGGAAACCCGGCCCTCCAACAAAGGCAGGAGAGCTGCAGCAGCACAGCTGTGACTCGGGGCGACCGACAAGCAGGCCCGAACGGCCCCGTGGCCTAATAGCCCAACCCAAACCGTGACATCACCCCCTGTTGATGGCAGCATCTCGACGCCCTATGAGTCTGCGCAGCCTGATCCTCTTTACGAATTTTCCACCATCCATTTACCAGCTCTTCGCAGGGCGTGAAAGGGTTGAGGGTGTAGAAATCCTCCAGTGCCTCTTCCGCACCCTCCAGTTTATCTCAAGATTCCCACGTCCACTCCTCCCGGGGGTAGCCCTTCCATTGGATCAAATACTTCAGACGATGTCGCCCTTGTTTGCACACAAGGGAGATAGCCTCTATGTCGTAGTGTGGTTCCCTATCTTGCATTTCAGCCGGGGGCGGCGGAGTGGCCACCTGATGATGTGTTCCAGGGTCGTAAGAGCATGGTGTGAAATACCAGGCTGACATGCCATGTCAGAGAGGCATATGTTTGACATGGTCAAAAGAAAGTGAGTTTGTAAATACTATTAAGTGCCGTGTCAACCAAAGGGAAGGAGTCAGAGACAGAGTTGGAAATGAAATTGAAGTCGGAGACACCTCCTCCTCTGTCACTCCTGTCATCCCCGCACCTGTCATGCCTTCCGGAGCCACTCCTGACGCTGACACTCGGCTGGATGCACTCGAGGCGAAAATCGACCGCCTAACTGAGGCCCTTACTCTTCTCACCACCCAGGCTTCCGCTGCCGCTGCCGCCGCTAATACTGCTGGCGGACCCCAAACAACACCACCCCCGGAGACGTCGATTCCGACTCCGACTCCGGTTCAGGGCGATTCCGAGGCCCTCTTTGGCGACATCAACCTCGCCTCAAAATTGGTCTTGCGACCAAACCCTCCGTTCACCTTCAACGGCGATCGGAAACGCGGCCGCGCGTTTCTCTATGCGGTCTGCACCTACGCCCGCCTTGCCCCTGAGGCCTTCGTGGTCAACGGAGAGGCGAGCGAGGAAAAGGCCATCCGCTATGCCATGTCGTTTATGGCAGAAGGACCCGCTCAGCAATGGGCGGAGCGCCACGGAAGCAAAGCCCCGTTTCCGTTTCCGTCCTGGGGCTCGTTCGTTTCCGAGTTCCGACTCCGGTTCGTCGAGGAGAATGAGCAAGATCATGCTCTCTCCAAACTGGAGACTTCCGCCTATCACATGGGCACAAAGGATGTCTACCAGTACACCGACGACTTCGAGGACCTGATGGACCTCGCCGGATTCGAAGACGCGTT